AGGCCCCAAAATAATGTTTCTATATTCATAATTCAGATTTGAGAGAAATGTCTCTGTTTAGAGATTTCTCGTCAGCTAAAGTGAGTGAGGGCTGAGAATCCTAGCTGTAGGTGTAGAACCGAAATTCTGCTCTACATTCTGAGATCCTTAAGAAAACACAAGTTTAAGTTTTTTTCTGTGCCTTTATTGTAGAAAGCAGAGATCTAATCCTACAGCATTAGCTTTGTGGTAATTTGAATGCGAGAATGAAAAGTTTGCTGACGGAATAGTAATTTTCTACTCAGTATTCCTATAGATTAGTTTTGTGATTCTTACTAGTGGTTCCCCTGACAAATTGGGATTTATCTCTCCATCCATTTTCATTGCAAACCACATCATAAAAGATGTTATTGACTGCTTTGTATTCAGCGAAAAAATCCTCTTCTTATAATCAAATGCATTCTGACTGTTGATAAAAAAGCGATGCACTTGATAGCACACAGGGATTTAAATACTGAAAACTGCAAAGGGTATTTCTGCAGGCCAGTGCACAGTTCCTAGCAACGCTTTGGCCTAATTGCTAGAAACTGGCTGCAGTCACAAGCTTCAGTGCTGGATTTTGAATATAGAAACTTTGAACAATGTCTAAATCCGGGTTTTGATACAGCCATTATGGAAAGGCAGAAAGAATGACATAGACTGGCTTTCAGGATTTTGAATTCCTCAGTATCGAAGACATTACTAAAGCCCACCAAAATACGTCCAGTAGTTAAACTGCACAGCAATGTAGATTTGATTAAAAAGTCTTCATTGCATTTCTTTCTATGTGAAAAAGTGTCTTAAAATCTAAACCCTCCTTGTAATGTGCACACTTCAGCAAAAACCATTCTTAAAATATTCTAATAAATTCTAAAAGAAAAGCCTATGCAAAAATGAAAAAGCATACTAATGGATACTTCAAAACCTAAAATAAATATGTTTTTTTAACCTAACTGTACAATCATGGAGCAGAAAAAAAAAAAAAATGTTTCATTGTGATTAGCAGCAACTGGAATAAATCAAAGTGCAATCAAAAATTAGCAAATTGTCATGTTATTTGTCAACATTACACCTCAAAACCAAGAAGTATTAACAAAAACATGAAACAGCATGTACTAAAACAGGAGGAAGTATTTGCTCGGGAAAAGAAACTTACACTGCCCTACAGCTTCTGTCAACCAGTCCTTTTGGCCTCCCACTTTATCTCAGCATACCCAAGAACAAGCTTGTGCTGAGAAATCTGTTCAGTATCTCATGTTCTCAAAACAAAGGAATAAATCACCTTATACTATCATAAAACCAGTCTGCTTTTTGGGTTTATAGATGAAGTAATCTCAGCATGGGGCTAAAGAAGTCCATGCCTGAACAGAGAGAATGAGAAGAGATTTCCCCAGTGGGACAAAGGGGAGGGAGAGCAGAACTTGTGGAGGCTCTTTTAAGCTATCAGTGGAAAAACAGGATAATCTTAATTATTTTTAATTGTGTTTCTCTCAGTGCACACCACATTGTCTCTGGCACCAACCTACACCAAACAACAGCTCTTGACACGACATTTCTTATTTGAATAGGTCGGCCTGTTTCACAGAAGTGTGTACCTGTGATCTGCAAAATAATCCAATCAAATTTAATATCTTCCAACCCTATGTAGTATTATATACTGAAATACTCTGCCATGTACCAGTTCCTTAAGTGTTATAAAAATAAGTTTTTCATATTATACTTCTGTTTCGCTGTATTCTAAAGAGTCAAATCATGGTAAACAATGATTCTTGCACAAAAAATCATCTTTAGTAACATTTTAATTGAAAGGAGGGAAAAAATGTAGAGATCACAGTGGTACTAATTTTCTAATGAGAAAAGCCAGATTTGTGTCACAGAAAAAGCCATCTATCCTATATTCAATCCAAATAAATTGGTTTAGATGTTATCCTAAATATTAACTATTAATATTAATATTAATTATTCTATTTAACATATAGAATAAGAAGGTGCAAAACCAGAAAGTTGGAAATAAAAGCATACATTGTTTAGAGGAGTCTAGAAGAAATGAATGATGAGTACAGAAAAACCAGAAAGTGGGACAAAAGGTTGGAAAAGGGATAATACAAACCATGAAACATGGTTACAGGAGAAAAGGAACAAAGCTGGCAGCAAGGAAGGACAAGTAAATAACACTAAATGTGGAAAATACTTTTCTGACTTCTCACAGAAATGGAAAATTGAGGATGCTAAAAGTGACACTTATCCCAACGTTAACAGTAGAATATTTCTTAGAGGTCTTCACTGTAATTGATTATGAAGTTTGCAAATTCTAGATGTTGCAGCCCTGCAGAGGTCAAGGATAGAAACCTGAAGCATGTAACAGCTTAATTTCAGTTGTCTTGACTGTCTTGTGTAATTTGCTAGGTTTTGTTTTCAATATCTGCCATTTAAAAATAGCATTCTAGTTCACATCAAGTTCATCAAATTAATTGCTGCAGACTGTGATTTTCAATGGTAGATGCCTAATGTGAGGCTTCCAAGCCTATGTTTGGGTAGGAAATACTCAGCTTCAGAACTGACTGAACTGAATCTGCTTAGTGCACACTTAATGGAATCACTAATGTTCACATTTTTACAATCTATTTTTTATTTTAATCCTTTAAGAAACTTGACAATAAAATGCAAAGAATGACCTTTTTTTTTTTTTTTTTTGCTTTTTTTCTCAAGTAACTTTGCATCAGTTGATAAGATAATCTATCCACACTAATTTCCAATAGTGAGATTCTCCTTCACAAGAAGAGGTTTCATGTGAATATCTTCATTTGTGCTGTATTATCATAATCTATTATCTACAGGACAATCAAGGCGGAAGTGCTAGCTAATTCTGTAGCCATAAGGACTCAACGTAATACATATTCATACAGAGAAAAGGTAGCATACCACAGGAAAGAAATACCTGCATAACTCTTCGAGCCTGGATTTTTTCTGTGCTAGTGGATATCTATTGTTCCTGATTAGTTAACAGTTATATTTCTGAGACAGTCAGTCCAGCAGCCAGAAACTGGTTCCCGCTGATCCCACTGTCCACTCTTTTTTACATTCTCTCTTAGTGTTCTTTTAGTCTCGGGTGAAATGTTTTCTGTTGTCTTAGCTCATTCTGTAATAAACGCATCGCAACTCCAGTACACACAATCAGTCAGAACTGGCAGTTTCTCAACTCCAGTAAACTCGGAACTGCATGAAGGCTAAATTACTTCTGTCCCAGGAGACTGATTCTTTGAGGTCAAGTCAAGCTCATTAAGGAGAACAGAGCGTGGGGAACTTTGTGCTGGAGTCTTTCAGCTATACCTATCATGCATAAACGCTTTGAATTCTCTGTATTATTTCTTTTATATTATTTCTAGAACTATGCTGTCCCATAACTATTGCTTTTCCTGTGTTTTTCTGTGTCAGCCAAGTGACATTGTCAGTGAACACATCCAGTAAGTAAGCACAGTCTAAAAAACAGGGTATACAATTGGATTTAGGAGACTTGGATTCTCTGATTCTGACCCGCTTTATGAGCCTGGGATGATCACACCTCCACCTGCACCACTGTTTCCCTGCTGTAGCAATTTCCATACCCTACTGCAGTTCAGCCCTCCACTGCAGCACAGGACTGTCTCACACTGTTGAGTTTTACAATGTTGAGCATAAAGACACCACAGTTCCGTATGTGACAGTAACAAGGTCAGTGTCAGACTGATGGTTAAACCTTCACATATGTTCCTTTTTCTTTTCCCCTGTAAATGTTTCCATTACTGGAATGGAAAATAGCTAGATTGCTTTACTTCAAACTAATGAATAGGTTAGTACTGTCAGAAGACTTTTCTAGCAATTCAAGGAACAGGACATGAAGAAGCAGAATAAATAGCTATGCAGTCTGTTTCCTTGTTGAGTTTCATTATTAAAAAAAAAAAAAAAAAGATTAAAACGCTCAGATTCATTGAAACTCAAAAGCTATGACAGAAACAAATCTTTTTTCACTCTTGCATCCAGTATTTACACACAAAAAGTGTCTACTGTGGATGTAGTTCCTGTCCTTGTCTCTAACTGAAGAGTGTATGCATAATATTTACAGAAAAGAATGCTGAGTATGTAATTGTTAATATTAGATATGATTTTAAAATTTACATTTCTGAAAGCAAAAATACACTCAAGGAGTAAGACCATTAGAAAAACAGTACAGTGGCTTCAGATGAACAACTGGTGTAAGAATACATTTTCTTTGTATCAGTAAATTCTGTATTAGTTGAGTGGCCCCAATACTGTGTGGCAGCTTGTGAGGCACTCAGGGGCTGTTGGCTGCTGGCTTTAGATTTCAGATTCCTGTGATATGAAGGCTTGTTATTAGTCATCCCTTGCTGCTCTCTTTCCTTTCTTGGTGTGAACATCATCAGAAGCTTTCAATCATCATTCAGCTCACAACACCTTTCAGTTGCAATTTCTCTTCCACTCTCAGCATCAGCCATACTCAAAATATGTCATTTCTTCCATATCACTTTTCTCATACAGTTTTTTTTCCTATTCATATTAGTGAAGCCACTCACATTCTCATCATCTTCCTTATCACCCTCTGCAATCTCCTTCGCTCCCTTGTGGTTTGTTTGCAAAGCAAAGCACTTTCCAAATGCTACAAGCCATGCATAGTCAAGAAACTTCATAGTCCTGCAGTCTTCTCCTCCATTTAGCTCTTAAACTCTAGTTCCTCCTCAGGTGACTTAACTCTCATTTACAAGATATGGTGAAGATTTAACCTCACTGTTTCATGTTCATATAAACCTGTTAAGAACTGTCCTGATTTGAAAAGTGATCCTAATGTTTTGTCAGTTTTTTTCTGCTTTTCTCACTTGGTAGGAAATGTAAGGCACAAGAGAAATGTTTCTTCTCTCAAAGCTCTCAAATATACATCTGACCATTACCACATTACCATATCTTTTTTTTTTTTTTTTTTTAAACAGAGTTGGTGTAGATCCAGATGAAGATATGAAAGCAGAAGCTGCAAACCAGGTATGTATGTGCTGAATAAATCTGAACCACTCAAGAAGGAGAATATTTGACAAAGCATTATCGCTGGAAAATTTTTAAACCAGCAAATTATAAGTGAAGAGAAGGAACTGCAAATTGTCTCTATAGTACAAGGTACAGAAAAGGAGATGTATTTCATGAATATTTTGTAACTAAAGGTGTTAGAGAACTTTGAAGAAAATTATAAAGAGGTGCAAAGATATCCTGAGAATTCTGATAAGCAGAATAGTAGAAATGTAGCCTTCATAAATCCAGCTATTAATCACCTTCCAGATGAGACTTTTTGGAAAATGCAACATTTCAGAACAACTTTCCATTTCCTGGAATAAAAAGAGAAAGCTGCAGTGTTCTGTCCCAGCAGGTCAGGTTTCTGAAAATATTTTTAACATAGAAGTCTATCTGTATTTTGAACATAAAAACATTAAACTAAAGGAGCTCATTTAAAAAGCCGCTGAAGGTCGTCTGCCACCTTCCCTATTTTGTCACCCCTGTATAGAATTCTTTCAGATGCAGCATTGTCTGCAACTATAACTCTGTAAGAGTCAGTACACGTAGAGGTAAGGTGTCCTTTAGCATGCTAAGAGGAGTAAGGAAAATCAGCATGAGAGTTGGCAAATTCTCACAGCAAAAACAAAAACAATAGATAAAAAAAAGTGCCAAATATTGTGTTCCTGTTTCTGGGTAATACCATCCCAAGCATTCCTTCAAACTGCCCAACTGCAACTGAAATTACCCAACAATTAGAAAAATGTAGATAATAAGTTAGGGCAAGAAATGAATGAGAGAGTCTATCCACATGGAAATACATTAAAAATATTATTAGACTGAACATCTAAACTTTACCCACTTGCATATATCAGAAGTCATTTGGGGTCTCAGCTTTCACTGAGCTCAATGGAATTCACATGCCTAAACATCCTAAAGTTTCTCTGAAAATAATAGAAAAAGTTGATTCATATCTGATCATATCTTTAGTTTTACATCTCAGTCCCTAACAAATGGCTGGTACAGCACCCTGTTGCACCAAGCTGTGATACTGATATATTCTGATGCTGAAGGCACAGGTTACAAATATCATGCTCTTTAGTGACTTGGTGGTAATTCTTGCAATGCCTCTGCCCAAATTCTGTCCGAATACAGGATGCATAACTTTATTTGTGTTGTTAACCTTTATCTATTCTTGCGTGAACTTCAAAACCATTTAATTTCAGAGCCATTCTCCTTTGCAGCAGTCATGAGCTCTCAAACATAACAGAATGCTGAACTGAGTGGTACAAAATTGACCGAATGCACATGGTTTGTGAAGACTTGATTTCTCCAGAAACCCTGGGCTTCTGGTTTCCTCCTTCTTTTAATAAAAATGAAAATAATTGTTTATGAATAACAATAACATGTCAAGTGCCCAGCTGTGCCCTGTGAATCAACACCTATCTCTGTTGACAAAACTCAGGAACGCAATTCAGGAGGTGTAAATAAATGTAACACATTTCACGCTCTGACACATCCACGGCAGTAATCCTTATAGTATAAATTTTACTTTGGAAAATAGCTTTGCTGCACTGATTTCTTCTACCCTGCGGTCTCCTATTTTCATTTCTCTGAGTTTTTTGTATTTGATATCTCGATCTTTTATTATTACAGATCTCTATCGCATTCTCTGTAGCCCTCTTTCTTTAACTCAGTATCTATCAGAGTTGTTCGATCAATTTCAGGTTATTTAGTTAAATTTTCTCTTTTTTTCTCTCATCTTTTTCTTTTCTTTTTTTTCCCCTTTGTTGTCTTTTTGCTTTCCTTTTATTTCTAATATTTATCTATTATAATTTTTCTATTTATATAACATTTTAATATTTTTATTTCATTTCCCTACTTTACATTTTCTGTGTTGCATCTCTTCACAGTGAAACAAGTTGTTTTACTTGAAATGACATTAAAATAGAATACATTTTGGCTGTTCATAAGTATTACTAGCTCATACCATAGTTCACTCTGAATCCTGCACAGCGCATATTCATAAACCTCACGAACAACTCGTATAAGTAACATATCAAGTGCCACTGTCTTCTGTTGCCACTTAATCTCTCAGCCAGGTGAGCTGTGAGCCACCTGCCAACTCTTAGAGCCATTAATTAGAGCTTCAGGGGATTGTACAAGAAGGACTGAACCCACTCAAGAATAAGATATTTAAAAGCCAGCAAACGTGTGAAGAGTAAGCCTCTAGACTCCCCCCTACTCAGCCAGAATGAAGAGGCCTCAAGATCTGCTGCAGAAATTTCTCTCCATCTCCTTTGTGACCAAAGTTCCCGAGTCCATGATGGCTTGGAACTGGATCCTACAATTTTAAGGATCAGAACACTAATATTATTATCATCAGTCCATTTATATGCATGTTTAAGTATTATGGGAAAATATTTTTTAATGTGTTAGGTTAGAAGAAAAATAATTAGATAAATTGTTTTAAAACTGCACAAAGAAAAGCATTGCTATTACAAAGAAATCTAATTTCCAACAAACTGAAACAAGAAAATATCCTTTAGAGAACTGACAGTCCCATTCCTAATTCCATCATGCCACTGGTATTAATGTGATGCCCAGAGCAAGACCAAACTAGCTATTTTTGCACAGAAGACTCTCACAAGTATATTATTCCAAATTATGATTCTCAGTAAAATGACAGCCCGTCTACCTGTGCAGAGTATCCCAGAATTAGCTTACAGCATGAAAAGCAGTATTTTGAGTCAGTGCATTTTGGTGCTTATGACTGCCCTTACTTTTCCAATATTTCTGTGTTCCTCTCACTCTTGGAGAGCAGCACAGAAGGCAATGTCATGGTTATTAGAATACCACAGTCCCTTCGAAAATGACATTTGGTTAGCTGTACACTAACAGCATCCGAGCTTGTAGGAGTAAACTGAAGTAATCCCACAATGGCAATTAGATCAAAATGTCATTTTACTGATCTTAGAATATAGTGTTCTCAGCTGCATAATAAAATTGGAATCATTAATAAAACTAAATGCTGCATTCCTCCATTAAGTATAAAGTATAATGAGAAATGTGTTGTATGAGCCAAATTCTCATGAACCAATTTGCAGAGATGACATTCCTGTAACAGAGGCTTTTCAGATTAAAAGGGGAAAAAAAGTGCAGTAAACTGTTACTGGTTTGACATGTATTTTTAATATTGGAACTTCATGTTTTTTTGTCATAAAAATGCATTTCACTTTTTGATTTGTTTATTTGCAGAGTGCATGTAGCTGGGATAAAAATACAACCAAAGCAGAGAGTGCATGGCTGTTCAGAGTTTGGTATGTATTTGATCACAGGTATCCTTTTCTGTTCTAAGCTGCAGGTGATAGTTTCATTACAACTGGCACTTTCAGAATACCCAAAACTGGTTATACTTTCAGAAACAAAAACTAAAGATGTTGAAATCAATTATACTTTTGTAAGGAGAAGAAATATTGAAAGTTCAAAGAAGTTCTAGAGAAGTAGAGGAGTGCAGTGGTGAGGCTGCTTGTGAAAACCAGCTGAGATGCAAAGCTGTGCCCTACAGCAGGATTACCAGGAAGCTCAAGTTCATATTTCCTGGACTTCCGAGCCTTTTTACATCCTTCCACATTCATACTGATGCAACACTCATATCTACATTTGCCTAAAGCAAAGGTGGAGCATATTCTCTTCACACCCTTGCTCTTTTACTCTTTACATCAGCATTAGTGACTCTTGCTGTCACTAACACCTGTGCAAAGAGATGGTAAAAGCAACCATTCTGGTTTAATGCATTTCAAATTCACTCTGGAAAGGCTTTGTGTATGTCAGTGAGATCCCAGAGTAATAATCATGCCTTAGCTATTAACAGAAAATAAAATGAATACACTAGAAGTCCTGATAATTTCCACGCACAGTAACTAAGGAGCTAAATGGGCAAAGCTTCACTTGTAGTCTGCATTATTCAGTAGCATTTATACTGATTATTCCTTTATCCTGCACTAGTGAGTAGAAATTAACATTCCAGTTATATGCATGTTTTTCTGATATGATCTGCAATGAACTAAGATGAAATATTTCAGCTTCCTAAGAAAAATTCTAGTGAAGTTATCTTTCAAGAGCCTTTTGACAGGGAAAAAAGAAAACCAACAAACAGTATATATATGGTTATAAATGAATGTATTTACCTAATTCATCTATCAAAGCAGTTTTAAGGGGCCAAATACTCTTAGTATTAGAATATTTTCTTAGAATAATTACTTATGAATACTTATAAGTAGTAGGTAAATACAGTATAAAGCAGGAAACATGCTTAAACATTAATGCTGGATACCAGAATAACTGGCTTTAATACCACCCAGGCCTCTGTTTTTTTCTGAAAGAATAGCCTGTGGTTGTGATTTATCTTAAAAGCTGTAGGTTGGAAGAGATAGATGAATGGGGGGGAAGGAGAAGGAAAAAAGTAACTGTGCTCTGAAAAAGAAATAAGAAAGCAAAAGGCAAGAACTCGACAAAGGTATGAGTTAGAAAAAAAGAATGAAAGAGACAACAAGGGTAGAACTACAAATCAAGGGACAGAGGAGGAAGGGAAAGAGAGAAATTGATATGAAGTAGTTGGACAACAGGGCCTGCAAAGTGAAAAGACTGTAGAATTCAGCAGAAGTGAAAATGATGGTCTTCTTTACTACTGTCTTCCCAAAGGTTATCTGTATGGCAGAGATCTTAAATCTTCGCTTTTGGCATTTGATCTAGAAAGTGATTTTAAATCTGGGTTTGTAATGCTTTTTTCTACAAATTCTAGTTTCTAACTCTTTTGCATTTCAAGAAAATTATAGTAGTGTGATTTTTTTAATGAGTCATAAAAAGAACCTCTTTAAGTCATAATCTTTCTTCAAAATTCAGATGTTCGAATATTACAACCATGCCTTTATCCTAAAATGTATTTCCATTACAAATAAAACACCTTGAATTTTACAAATAGTGAAAATGTATATCTGTACACAGTAATGGTTCAGCCCACTAATCCTGTGACTCACAGCACTGAGCATCTCATCAGTATGGCATTTTTTGAGATAACACTTTTTGTGGAGACAAATTATCCACACACACTTTCTAGGTTTGTTTTTCTCCAATGTTACAAAGCTGTGCTGCTAAATTTAAAAGAAGAAATTGTCATGTAGCACCATGTTTGTGTCCAGTAAAAAATTGCATGGAGGATTATTATATGGTTTCCAAAGATAAGATAGTGAAAAATAACCATCTATCTGGAAATATACTTGGAAAGTATACATGATTGTGACATTTCTATAGTTAGGAATTTCCTCTTAGACATTAACACAAATCTGCTGACTTTTCTGGCAGTAACATCTCTTATGCCTGTTTATTTTTTGGCCAAAAAGCAAAAGGGAGGAAATGTCACTGAAGAAGCCAAAAAGTGGTGCTGTTTTTTGTTGTCATTCTGAATGATTTTCACTTATTCCAGTCAATTTAGATGGGGACAATGTGCCAGACTAGAGTAAAATTATACAAAAAAAAAAAAAAAAGACTTTTGAGAATCAAATTTTATATTACGAATAAAACAGTAGAAGCCTTATCCAGAGCCAGCTGGATTCAATAAGGATTGTTTAAGCAAGTATCTTTGATTCAGGTATCAACACCTAAGAAAAACATACCGTTCTCTAAAATCTAGGCTGGGAAATTTTTACACTGGATTAAGAAAAATGAAGAGATCACTTAAACCATCTTAAGTAAGCACGCCAACATATGCTCTTGGAATTTCATCTCAATTATTTAAACAAGTAAAATGCAAAACAAAATACTTGGTATCCGACATTGGGATAATTCCACTGAATTTACTTCAGCTTCCTTGTTTTTACAACTCAGAGTGAGTTATCATTTGAAGCTGTGATATACTCCTATGGGTAAGTGGAGATGTGAGGAAAGCAACACAAAATACTTCATGAATTTGTTTTTAGGAAATAAACAGCACAATACACATACCTTTGTATTGTTTTTGTTGTTGTTTTTTCAAGGCAGATGTAGCCAAGTTTAGCTAGTAAGTCAGTGGGAATTTCATCTTGCAGGGACAAGACCTGAGTACATAAAGGCAGAGCTCAAATAGGTGGTGAGCAAAGATTTCCCATCCCAGATGCATCCCACAATGAAATTGTAACTTTACTCCCAACTGGCAGCAATCTGCTTTAGCTCTTCTCAGTCTTCTACCTCTTTACTTGCTTATAAACACTGCTGTTTTTGGCTGCCTAATCTCTACTTGTCTAGAGTTAGAATTCTTTCTTCTCTACAAAGGCCTTTATTCCTTTCATAACCTCCTCCTTAAAATGAAGGAAAAATGAGTCTAAGAGTGTCCTGTAAACAGCCTTTATCTGCTTCTCCAACTACTTTGGACTAAACTTATTCTGCTATTCTTGGTTTGATATGTTATTACACAAAACTTCCTTCTCCTCACGTATTCATGAAATCCTGACTTCCTCACATGGGGTCATTGTTGCTCTCACTGATTGTTCTGTAGTATCAGTCAGGAAAGTGACTGCACTGCTCTCCCCCTTCTTGTGGAGCACTTGCATTGAGGAGAAAGAATTTGAGACTGCTAAACTGACATACATAATAATGCAATAAAATGCAGAAATAACTGAAACAGAAGATGAAAAAGGGAACATAATGCTCTGCTAAGATTTTTCCTTCCACAAATGCTCACCTTCTTCGTAAGGAGAAGCTCATATCATGTTGCAGGATAATTATGTGATCTTACTCATCACACTCTAGCTTGTCCTGAGAAGAAATTTCTTACTTTATAAAAGGAAAATATGTGCAAGAGTACAGTAAAGGAAAGTAAGAAGGAAAGGAACAGAGGATGGCTTCACATGCTCTTAGGTTTCAAATAAGAAGTATTAAACTGCAAAAGTTAAGCCTTGGTCCCACCTACAGCCAAGTCTGTTCTTTTCTGGCAATGGGGTAAGATGGAATTTTGTGCTGTGGTCATCCAAGACCAAATGAGCAGAGCTCTGCTGCTGCTTATTTCTGGCAGACATGAGGGCTGATAAGAAGTCAGGCAGGAATCAATTGGCAGAGGTGTACTGCAGGTGTTGCAGTGACACGTCTACTACATCCCTTGCGCTGAGCTACCAAGCCTGTGTAGGAACACAGCTGACTGGCTTCCTCAGAGATTTGCTTTTTGATACCCTCGTGCACACTGTCACAAACAGAGTAGTACAAGGGGAGGTTTCTTCTTTTTTTCAGATTTCTTTTGACTTTGAGGAACTAACATTTGGTTACACTGAATAGAAACAGGAGTCTGGTTCTGAGTGAGGCAATTCTCCGTGTAACAGCTGCCAAAAATGTTTCTACTTGAACTGCAGCTATCCATCATTCAGAAGTGTACCGTTCAGTTAAAGAAAAAGGTTGTTTGTGTCCTTTACACTCACCTGAAATCAATCAGCCAAAAGAAATAGTGTTATTTGTAGACTTCAAAAGTTTCTCCTCCTTAACTTATCAGGGCACCTAACTTTTTATTTCTGCTGTCCTTTGTACACAGATAAAACAGCCACAATGGCTGCCTGTGAAGCAAGATAAGTGCTTTTCCATGCTTGTGAGAAAATGGAAAAACTACCAAAGGCAAAATTCCATTCCAAGGTGAACTACCAATCAAATTAAAATTCAGAATTTTAGGACTTTCAAATGAATTTTTCTTAAGGGATAACTTACCACTGTCATATTAGAGACAGACATTTTGGAAAGAAAAGGCAAGAGTCTGTAAGCAGGCATATGCATACCATTTTCTTTTACTTGCTGTAGAATTAAAACTTTTTAATTACTGCTACTCTGGTTTGATCCTTTTATCACTGTGGTAGTAACAGTAAAATGACACTCAGTGGCCTAGCTTTGGACCAGGAACTTATTTTGCTGGACAGCTTCCAAACTGAGAAAAGACAACCAGACAACCCCCTCTGAGACTTCAGTCTCATTACCAATCAAAGAAGCATAAAAAATTCAGTGCAAGCACATTCAGGTAGCTCACAGAAACAGTAATGTAGAATTGGCTATCAGAAAAGGTAGGGTTCATAGCAGAGAGATGCTAATCAAGCACAGGAAAGTGTTTTGCAGATTTTACAAGCAGATCGTAAAAAAATCTGAGAATAAAACACAAACCCCAGCTGAGGGATTTTAGTGGACATCATAACACAACAATGACACAAGAGCAGCTTACTAATCATAAAGCTTTCTCAAATGCTACAGACTTGAGAAGGACAGGAAACCAAAGGACATTTTATTAGTAGCAATAACTACCTGAACTTAGTTCAGAACTTATTTAAAAAGA